TGAATAAACGTGCATTAGTAATATTTTGCTCGATGCGCCCTCTTGTGGCCTCAGGAGAGAAGCCAAAAGCTTTTTTTCACCCTAACTGAAATTATGCATTTTAATTTCGAATATAATTCGAATTTTGATAATATTTAAGTACAACATTTGAATTTAGTTTTTCAGCCATTTTGACAGCCCCAGAGCAGACAGGAAAGCGTTGGGTGGAGAGAGGGGGCGGAATCGGTAAAGGACCTCGAGTTGGGAATCGAACTCAGGTCGCCGTGAGCACAGTTGCACTATATGCGGCGCCGACAAGAAAAGGAAGAATTTTTTAACAGGAAAGATTTATTTTAAAATGTGTGCCAAGTTCCTAGAAATGTACTACATGTATTTTCTTTATTTGTAAACTTTTATGCTTGCAAGGAAAAACTTAAATTTAATTACTCCAAAAATGTAGTAAAACCATCAAGTAAAAGATAAAAAAAATTTTAACATAACAATTTTAAATATAGTTTTGAAAGCATATTTATTTATTTATTTATTCATTCATGCATGCATCCATTCAAATCATGAGTGTACGAATTATTAATTCATTTAGGTTTTTGGGGAGCGGCACCACATGACATTTTACAACCTTAATTAAACATGAATATCAAAATTGAAGACTTTAATTTTTATAAATCATTTTGTATATATAGAAATAATAATAATAATAATTATTATTATTATTATTATTATTATATGTTTATATACTTTTAAATCAATTAATATATGTACTTATTTGTCAGTTACATTTATTTAAACAAATATTTTTATATTTTATAGAGAGAGAGAGAGAGAGAGAGAGTGAGAGAGAGAAAGAGATTTATTATTATTATTATTAACATTTTAAAACAGTTACTTTTTCTGCCTACATAGCTTTGGTTACATAAAAAGAAACTAGGTGTTATTTCAGAGGCAAAGACAATTATTACACATTTAAATTTTTTTTTTTTTTTGCCGTGATAACAAAAACAATTATTAAAGTTACGTGGGTCCATTTTTATTTCAAATTTTCTATAATCTCAAATTACAAGTTCAGAAAATATTTCTGCATGTCATGACAAATAATGACTTAATGCACCATCGTGAGAAAGATTCACCCTTTGTCCTAGTAACGCCGAATCCCTCTGTGATCTCTGACCAAGTTTCACTCTCTGCGTCTGCCATCGCTAACACACACACACACACACACACCCACGAACGCACAAACCAATTACAGCCCAGTTCCTTCCAGGTAAAGTCCAGGGGCTCCTGGTTGGTTAGGCATGAGACGCATCTCTGTGGCTATGTGCTCTCCAGACACGTAGTACGCAGCTCTCAAACGTGTAGCACTATGGCGACCAGCAAACTAGTGAAATCTGGCAGCCACTAAGGAAACAATGACAATAGCCTCCTCAAGTCCGACAGAATAGATGCAGAGCTCAATCTGGCAAAGTGACAGATCACTTTCACTCACAAGCTCCCAAAAAGACAAAGTTAGGCCACTTTTGTCCCGCCGTAACAAACTCCGAGAACTGGTTTGTGAAGAGACAGAGCTAGAATTCCTACAATGAGGAACTGGATGCAAAGGACATGATACTCGCTGTTCAGTGTTCAGTGAACTCGCTGGCAGGCTTATGTTTGAATGAACTGTTGTTTTAAAGCCGGAGCGAGGCTAGCCCATAGATTAGCGCTACGCTCGTGCACAAAAACACCATGGCATTTCCACTCAACATCATGAGACGACACTTTCACCCTGGATAAAATATGCCAAATAGGGAGAATCAGAGATAACCTTTTGTTCCTCAAAAAATGAATCTGAAATAATGAATCTGACCAAGACAAAGTCATGCTGACTTAACTCTATTCGAGGACGCCGTGGCCTAGTGGTCAAAGATCTAGGCTGCTAACTACAAAGTAGGGCTGGACAATAATTCAATATCAATATGTATCGCGATATAATTTTTTTCAATAACGGTGATATGATTTTTAAACACATTTCCGATATTTCGATATACATTACCAGTTTCCCATACATTGATTTATTTGTGCGTTTGACTTCGTTGAATAAACATGAGCACTGCACGTTTCAAAATCATAACACGGCACGGGTGTTTTATATGAATGTATCTCTGAAGGAAACCGACTGTCTTCAGAAAAATTATACTTTTATTTAGCAAGGATGCTTAAAATTAATCAAAAGTGATGATAAAGGCATTTATAATGTTACAAAAGATTTCTATTTCAGATAAATAGTGTTCATATCGATATCGGAATTATATCGTATCGACCGAAATTAAGAAATATATCGTGTTATCAATTTTGGCCATATCGTCCAGCCCTACTACAAAGTCATAAGTTCACACCCCGGGAAAAAGGTGAGCCATAAACTACCAACATTACAACCTCAACCCATTAAACCCAAGATTACTCAAGGGCAGACTATCCTTGTAATACATATACTGCAAAAAGACTATTGGAAAGCCCTTGTGAAAAGGAAGTACACTTAAGCATACATTTAAAAAAAGAGTACTTATTATGGAGATAATACACTTTAAAAGAAATACTTCAGTGCTGATTGAATAGAAGCCCATTTCCGCCACAGAATTAAAAACAACAACAACTTTTTATATCACAATTCTGACATGTTTTCTCACAATTCTGTATCTCACAATTTTTTGTTTCTCTGAATTGCTAGAAACAAAGTTCGATTTGTGAGATATAAACTTAGAATTGTGAGGGAAAAAAGTCAGGATTATGATAATAAAAAAGTTACTTTTTTTATTTCTTTCAAAGTAATGTTTCCAAACAATTAATTGGATGTAATTTACAATTAAATAAAATTTTATTATAGTTTCAATTTATATTAATAAATGCAGTTATTGAACTTAAAAGTGCATTTGACCCTGTTAAGTAGGGCTTAGGTTCATCTTTATAAATAATTTTATAATTCTATGGTCTTTGAAATATGGTTAAGGTGTAACTGCTGGATGTACTGACAAGTATTTCTGGTAAACTAAAATACATTTCTATCAAAACTTGTAAGTCATGTAATTAGAAACATTTGTAAATACACATTTGTAAAGATGAAGTTCATTTAAAATGTGCTCTCGAATGTTAGTCAACATCAAAATAAGTGTACTTCTTTAAGGAATGTCAAAAGATTATTAAAAAATGATTTAAAATGTACTTTTAATTTGAGATGATTATTAAGTGCACTTTTAGAAAGTACACTTAAGTGTGTTAGGAAACATAGCTATGAATATGTCTCTTTAAGTGCACTTAAGTTATTTCAGTAATATTATCTGCAAGTATTCAGTTTTTTTTCTCCTCTTTTATAATACACCACAAGTGTACAATTAAGCACTACTTTTTCACAAAAGAGGTCTCTTACTTGGTTGACAAATGCACAACTAAGATATCTTATGCATGATTTGATGATCATGTGCTCTTTTTTTGTATTTACAGTATGAGTCTGTTATTTACTTGTAGCAATTATAATGAGTGTTAAAACACTATTGTAGCAAGCTATTCTGCGCTGTAAATACATAGTGTTTCAATTTACTAAACCCTAAATGTGTTAAGAACCTAACAAACTTGAAATGACTGTGTATAGAGAGAAATATGAGGTAGTGCTTTCAAACAATTATTCGCGATTAATCGCATACAAAAGAAAAGTTTTTGTTTACATAATATATGTGTGTGTACTGTGTAGCCTATATTTAATATGTATTTATAAATACACACATGCATATATATATATATATAAAGAAAAATATGTAATGTTTATAGATTAAATATATTTATATATAATATAAATTATATGAATATAACTGTATACATGTAAATATTTTTTTAAATAAATACTGTATGTGTGTGTATTTGTATATACATAATAAATATACACA